TAGCGTGACGATATGGTATTGGTTGCGCATTATCAAATGTAATGAAAGCTGGATCAGAGAGACCTATTGCTTTTGCGCCACGAACATTAATTAACAAAAGCAGAAATGAACTATTCGCAAATTGGAAAAGAAGCTCTGTTCATAGTCTGGGATGTAAAAAAGTTTTCCCTACATTTACACTGATTGCAGACAATCAACCATTTTTTCAATCAACATCCATTTTCCACCCGGATAAATCATTTCCAAAAATGGCAGCTGCTGGTTTACAGCGTTACGCAATGTTTCTAGCACCTCATTCATATGATATCGAATAATATCGTAAAACTGAAAATCATGGTAACGCAGATTTTTCATCAAGATTTCCATTGTCTGAAAATTCACATACAGATGATGAAGAATATTTCTTATGTTGCATTTTAAAGGTATTGCCCGTCACAAGTACGGAAATAAGAAAAGCAACCACTAATGAGTTAATATTGTGTAAAGTGGTAGATTTGGCCCTGAAAGGATGGCCAAACAAAATCAAGAATGACGAATTCAAGCGTATTTTAATAGAAGACATGAACTCAGTGTTCATGAAACAGAGTTGTAAGTTCACCCAAATTACGTACAAGAATTTTAGATGAATTACATGAGTCACATCTGGCATATTCAAAATGAAAGCGTAGGCTCGATCATATGTCTGGTGGCTACAACTTACTAACTCAATTGAAAATGGAGTGAAAGAATGCGCTTCCTGCCAGGAAACACAAAAAACGCCTGCAAATGCTGAACTACATAAGTGGGAATTTCCGGCAAATGAGTGGGAACGAGTTCAAGTTGGTTTTGCAGGACCGTTCGTGAATTCGATGTTCTTGGTTGTAATTGACGCGCATTCAAAATGCACAGAAGTGACCCCTTATGCGTTCTATCACATTGCAAAGAACTATCGAAGAACTCCGACACATATTTACAAAATATGATATATGATATGCAATCAACTAGTGTCTGACAATGGACCTTCACGTCGGAAGAGTTTGCAGGCTTTTTGAAGAATAATGGAATACGTCATTCACGATCTGCACCGTTTCATCTGTCAAGTAATGGTATGGCAGAAAGATTTGTCGGAGTTTTCAAGAGTTCTCTTCTCCGAGGGAGGAAGAAGAAAGGTGATATTTTTTACAAACGAGATAATTTCTTACTGGCGTACAGAAATACACCTCATTCGACAAAGAACGAATCACCAGCTATGTTATTGATGAAGCGATCTTTGCGATCACGTTTAGACTTGGTCAAGTCTGATCTAGCATCAAAAATTAATGAAAAGCAAACTAATGTACAAAATTCAAAAAGATATCCCAAAACAAGATATTTCGAACTTGGTCAAGCAGTCTCGGCTCGTGACTATTCTAGCAAAAAGAGAAGATGGGCCAGTTGCACAATCACCAAATATCTGGGACTACTGACATACCTGGTCAAAATTTTTAACGGGTATTTTGGAAACGCCCTATTTTGATCACCAGCTGAAAGCTGAAAATGACGAACTTTGTCGAAGATATGAAGAACCGGAATGGTACAATTGGAACCGGTCAAGCACATCGTCAGATGAAGATCATGTCCAGCCACAGGGTAATCAAGAAGCAGGCCAACATCCTGAACCCAGGCGCAATCCTCTCAGAAACAGGAGACCGCCAGACAGATTAAATTAGTGATAATGATAATGAACATTGAATTGAGGGTTTATTGTAAATGTGTTAATTTAGTGACATTGTTTATTTCTTCCTTAGGGGAGAGGGGTGTTTCGTATTTACATCATAGTTTGTTGTTTTTAACACGAGGTAGATTTGTGATTATGATGTCATAATTGCGTTTACTTGTCTGCGTGCTTGTTACTTATCGATCTTAAGATCGGTAAGTATATTGATAGGTATTTGTATGTCTGTGTGTGGGTGTGTGTGTGTGTGTGTCTGTTAGATGAACGCGATATCTCACGAACGCGTGGTTGAATCTGCTCCAAATTTTGCATGTGCATGCACCTTACCTCGGACCAGACGCCTATCGATTTTGGGTTGATTATGTCGTATAATTAGCGAGTTATTAACTAATTACCGATCTAAGATCGATAAGTCCTCGGTCTCCGACCGATATTCTCGTTATTCATCCTTGTGTTTTAAAGTGTCTAGCGCACTGGTTCTCAACCATGAGCCATGGCTCACTGCTTGGCCACAGAGACATTTTCAGGTGGGCCACATACATATCAAAAATGACATATTTATTTGTCATTTTTAGTTATTATCATTATAGTTATTGATAAATTAGGTAAACTTTGATTATAGTAGCAATGAATGATAATACTGTACTAAGCTACTAAATGGTAATTGTCATAATAATTATGAAAATGTCTAATTTTGTAAAAATATTTTTTTGTTTTTCTTGTAGTTTTTCCCTTACACGAGAAAGTTAATGGGACACAGATTTTTTTGTGCAACGGAAGTGGGCCACGAGAGAATAAAGGTTGAGAACCACTGGTCTAGCATTAAGCTGCGTTATACTGACGTCTTACTTTACCCTATAATAAACTAATATTTCTGTCTACTGGTGATTTGGTAATACCCAATACCCCTACCCATCACAGTAGGCTCTTCCTGAACAGCTGGAGAATTAATGTGACTTTGCTCAATGTATCAGCAAAATGGTTACGTGCCACAGTACAGCGTCATTTCCATCATCGCAGAACTCCGTAATATCCTGATCAATGTCGACTGTATCTTCAAGTGCGTCCTCCGCATTGCGACGTCTCTTGTATAAAACATCACAAACTGCGAGATGCAGTCTGTTGTGAGTTGCTATGGTAGTGATACACGAGCTACACAGATGCTCGTGTATTTGATGACAATTCTGGAAGCTTTTTAAGCGTCAGATAAACCTAGTTTAGATAATTATTATATTACTCGTTATGAAAATAAAAGTCTCGACTATACGGTATGATCGGGATACACGAGCTACACAGATGCTCGTGTATTTGATGACAATTCTGGAAGCTTTTTAAGCGTCAGATAAACCTAGTTTAGATAATTATTATATTACTCGTTATGAAAATAAAAGTCTCGACTATACGGTATGATCGGGTTTTTCGCGGCAAAATCATTGGACACGAAACGAGAATATCGGTTGGAAACCGAAGACTCATCGATCGATAGTTAGGGGATCCCCCAAAACAGAAACTGCAGTTTCGATTCATCCGCTCTTGTAACTTGCGCACTGCGCATCGCACACACACACTCGGCGGGTCTCAAAATTCTCTCGCTTTACAAAAATCTAGATCACTATATCAATAATTGATTGATAACTCGCTAATTATACGACATAATTCGCCCAAAATCAATAGGCTTCTGGTCCGAGATAAGATGAATGCACATGCAAAATCTGGAGCAGATTCAATCTCGCTTTTGTGAGATATCGCGTGCATCTAACAGACATACATACAGACAGACAAATACCTATCAACATACTTACCGATTAAAATCGATAAGTAATAAGGCTATAGATTGTCTTATTACTTATCGATCTTAAGATCGGTAAGTATATTGATAGTTATTTGTCTGTATGTCTGTCTGTGTGTGTGTCTGTTAGATGCACGCGATATCTCACGAAAGCGAGATTGAATCTGCTCCAGATTTTGCATGTGCATTCATCTTATCTCGGACCAGAAGCCTATTGATTTTGGGCGAATTATGTCGTATAATTAGCGAGTTATCAATCAATTATTGATATAGTGATCTAGATTTTTGTAAAGTGAGAGAATTTTGAAACCCGTCGAGTGTGTGTGCGATGCGCAGTGCGCAAGTTACAAGAGCGGATGAATCGAAACTGCAGTTTCTGTTATGGGGGATCCCCTAACTATCGATCGATAAGTCTTCGGTTTCCAACCGATATTCTCGTTAAATTGTTGTTGTTGTTGGCATTCTTCCTCATCTTGTTACTTATCGATCTTAAGATCGGTAAGTATGTTGATAGGTATTTGTCTGTTTGTTTGTTTGTCTGTTAGATACTCGCGATATCTCACGAAAGCGAGGTTGAATCTGCTCCAAATTTTGCATGTGCATTCATCATAGTTCGGAACAGAAGCCTATTGATTTACGATGAATTATGTCGTATAATTAGCGAGTTATTAATTAATTAGTTATGGAACACACGGTGTCACTATGGAGTAAGAGCGCTGTTCTGGGGTATCCCCTAACCTCCGATCGATAAGTCTTCGGTCTCCGACCGATATTCTCGTTGTTATTTTTGTTGTGTGTGAAAAATCGCTATTCCATTTAATTACTGGACCAATTGCTTTAAAACTTTCAGTGGTTAGGTGTTTCTGGCGATATGGCAATAGACCTTATTCATTAAAAACCCATCCTACGCGCAAAAATAAAAGTGATGTAAAAAAAAACAAGTTTAACATTAGCTCTTATGGGGAATGTGATCACCAGAGCAGAAATTTGCATTTTTTGTAATTTTCTAGATATCTTTCAATGCAGACGTGTGTAGTTTTTAGGATAGAATATTTTTTACATCTTTTTTGATATTTTTATCATGATAAACATGGTCAAGATTTTTGATAACTATAGTAACATTTCCGCCATCTTTTCAAGACTTATATGATATATAATCACTAGGGTTCGCAGCGCGTCTATCAGAGATGTTGAACAGATGTAATCGTTTTGAATTCTTGGAATAAAGAGAGTGATGTGTTGCGTATCCTCAGTGTTAAATTAGGAACCGCCAATTCCGTTAACGTTGCTACTAACTTGTATTCTCATTACGTCTAGGATTGCAGTTATGAACTGAAGTAGATATTTGACTTTGAGTGTGGTATGATCAGTGTTAACTATACATATTTCCCAAGGGCCATTTAGAATTAGTAGGTGATGGTTTATGGCCCATGCGTCGGCAACAGCGCGTGCAATGACAAAGTTATGATGACTCATTGTCGGTTGTTTGGAACAAATCATAGGTTGTCGGACTACGTGTTTACGTTAACTTTCTTACAAAGAAGTCTTCGATCGATATCGTGTCTTGCTGCGGGGTATTTTAAAAAGTCAAGCAGGCTGGTCAATAAGCAAATCGTTTTTTTCTACAGGAGAATGGTTTAGGCAAATATGGAGGACCAAGTGGCACGACAAAAGAAAGAAAAGATTCGTAAAATTGTCATTGCTTTCTCTGTATATTCGTTTGGATATTTTTTAAATATTGGATCATACCTGGCTATTACCGGATTGCAGAGCAGCGTTAATATCGAGGCAAGCATAGGTGGGTATATCTACGATTTCATAGAGCCGCGAATCCATATGTATATTTTCTAGAACCAGGCCTGAACTCACTAACATAATTATAGCATTATTATAAGGTTGGATCTCACTATATAAACAACCCCGTGATATCTTATCGTGACCTACTATTTACAAACTTTAATGAAGTCAATGTGAAGACGATGGCATACAATGGCAAAAGTGAAAATGAATTCTTCCAACTTTTTGTTTGATGATTGTTATAATATTTAATATTTTTTTTTATTTTCAGGCACCATAAGTCTTGGGATAGCCTACGTTGTGTCCTTCTTGACTGCGTTATTGTTGACACCCAGTGTGATACGCAAGTAAGTTCCGACCTAATTTAATATAGATACACATCATAGTCGAGTATGACCGCTTGGTAGTGCGGAGTTTCAACATATTGTATAACGATAGTTCGCTATGCTATGAAAATTGTTTCGAAACAACACCCAAAGAAGGTGTGTACACACGAACTATGGCAGATACGTGATACACGATATGGGTGACATTGAAAACAATGTATGTCGCTGTTGTAAACATTGGTTTAGCAGATGTACAGTTGAGTAGTATGCCCTTTTGTAAAGCGATCCGATTGCCTGCGACACACTTAACAGTTTTGGAATAATTCAATTACATTATGTGAAGTTTTAGAGTATTTAGCCTCAGGACATTATCCTGGCGGGCGCACCTTTAACCAGAGCCATAACATTAATTAAATGTCGGGGGTTGTATCTGCAAATGACGGATACAACTTATACTCGCGCGTTCAAGGGTTGAAACGTGAACTCACTGGTTGAAATAACTTTGAGAAATTCACGAATTATAAATTAATATTACTTTTCTTCTATGAAGAAGTTGCGTTTAGCTGAAGTAAAATAAGACTAGTTTTGCACGATCCAGTGTATAATAAGAGCAACTAATAAAGCAAAATTTTTTAACGGAACAAATTTTTTTTCAGACGCGAACACTTTATTGATTACAAAATGACATCGGATTGACGTTGTCGGCCGAATACAAATATATTTAATATGTCTGGGTGTGTCAGTTCCTTAGCAAATTAAATTTTATAATTTTTATATTGACGTAACGTATTGTGATATTTCTTTAATTAAAAGTTTGCTTTGTACAGGTACTTTGTCCGCGACCCCGTGTATAGGCCACGAATGTAGTTTTAGAAAATTTTCGAATTTGGCTTGTAGAATTCCCAGTACAATAGAACCCTTTATAATTCAGCGTTTTATTTATCCACACGTTTTCTGTAACATATATATCTAATCAGTGCCAAATAACACTACACAGATTTGATCAAATTCCAATTCTGCTAGTATAGTGTTTTCTTACTATTTGCAGGTTTGGATGCAAGTATGCCTTTCTCATCGGCGAGATTGCACATTTGTTGTACATTGTTGCTAACTTTTACCCAGGTAAATATAATGGGATTTTGAAAGAATATCAAATGTAAATCGCTATAATCGTGAATAAATTTATAACATACTGAACAGAATCAATCGACCAGCACAAATTTCTTGGTCTGATTAATCTTTGCGACTCTCTTGTTCTTTATCTAGATACCACTTACATTGACAATCAAAATCCTTCGCAATAGATTAAATCAATAAGCAGGTTAGATTGATTTTGTTCAGTTGGCAAGCGACCTATGAATTTATGTAAAATGTGTTTTATTCTTAGTTAGAATATCTTAAACATATGTAACATTATTGTTTGCAAACCATTTTTTCATAATAACATTGTTATTTTATTTTCTATCCATTCATATTACCCAGCGTACTGGGACTTGCTGTGCCGAACTAGAACAATTCTGATTCTTTCAAAATATTGTTAGTACTTATTAGAATTGTTTTGGGCTGAAGCTTACTATGATTAGTAGTTGAGGACCTATTTGAAAATTTTGTAGATTTTCTTTTGAATATTTCAAATCAAAACGACAAGCAAATATTACCAATCTTCGTACTATTTCAGTGAAATATGTCATGATTATCTCTGGGGTAATCGTTGGTGTGGGTGAAGGTATGATATGGACGACTGTGCCTGTATTCAGTACATTTTTTGGAATTCAACACGGATCACACGGTTCCAAACATCGATCCGAATACATCAGAAAATATGCAGGAATTTTTTTCGGCGTTTATTTTGCTGGACAGGTGAGGTCGTATATTTTCAATAGTGGTATGAAAAAGAAAATTGAAAGCTTCGTTGACTTACCAAATTGCATTTATGAATACAATGGGATCACCATCATGACCGTTCAGAAGCGTTGCTCGGAATATAATCCCAAAAATGTATAAATCTTATTCGGTATGAAATCAAAGTTTCCGCGATTCATTTGAAAAATGTAGATACTTCCTTTTTATGAGCTATTTTGACAATGGTTTTGGTAAATATGTAGGATAACTGTACGGAAAAGCGGTCACCAGCTCTGAACAACTCTTAGTCAGATATGGTTTGGGCAGATGGCAATTCTAAGATCAGAAGTGGGAGGGTTCTGGCACGATCGGTAATCTATGTTTGGCGCACATCGGGATCTTAAAAGACGCGACTGGGTGGATAAGGACAATGTGGTTAAAGGCGTCGACCACAAAAGTTTTCGGTCTTCGTGATCTTTTCTGTATTTGCCAAAAACCCGCTGACAAGGCTTTTAGTTTGTAGACTCTCAACGTAAAGTTGATATTATGAGCTTTGCCTAGGATCTATGGCTTGACGTTCTATTATTAAGTTAACTATTAAATCAGGCGTGGGAAAAGTTCGGCACATTATTATTTGTGGGGGAAATTGTACAATGCTGGCATGTGATTATCTTTCCCAAAATAATCATATTTATTTACTTGGTTTTTACAACAACATTTACTTAAAATTTATCGATTAAGTGTCCAGCTTTACATAACATTTCAGTTTAATTGCAGTTATATGCTTTTTACAAATTATAACCTTGTGATCGTGACTTTTCCCCGACTTAGATTGCGGTTAATCTCCAAAACTATGCTTGCTGGTGCGTGCCGAGCGTATTCGTTATTAGCCTCAAATTATTGCTAAGAATTGAGTGATAAGCCTTGAAACAAATGAAGTTTTCAAACTGAGTATAATGTTCATTTTTTTTGACCTGTTATAAGGGCGGTAGCCAGTGGCTTGTTCTCGCTGTCAGTACCCCATGCACTTATATATATGTTGTAATTTCTTATTGTTATTTTTAGTGTTGTGCTTTAATTAATACCTTAATTTTCCATGTTATTATTTATTGTAGCGATCTTTTTTATGATTTTGAATATATCCAATCATCGGGCATTGTCATGATGTAACTGCGTAATTTCAAATAAACTATTGATCTTATTTCATGACGATCTTCAACAAAGCACTTTTGTATAAAATAAGCCCGCTGAATTAAATCCAAAAATGAGGTGTCTATGAAATATTCTTTGAAAAATGTTCTTTATTATTGTTCTAGATTTTTGGCTCAGCCATGACTTATGCAATATTACATAAAGGAGAAACTCATTCAACTCCCCAAAATGATATGTTGATTCAAGCCTACTCCACCTGGGCTACAGAAACCAATTTATCTTACGCTACGAACGACACATTGAGAAACGTCACGTATGTAACATCGACCATGAACTCAAAACCAATTGCGAATATGACATTGGGCAGCGATGAACCTGAGCTTTACAGATACTGCGGTGCAAATGACTGTCAGAACCCTGAAATAACGCAGTCAAACCTTCATAATTACGTTCCTGCAGATAAATTGCATTTAAACATTCTCCTGTCCGTTTTTACGTGCCTTTGTGTTATTGGTATATTTTTACATATTTGCTACCTGCCTGTTGCCAAACCCGAAACCAACGACTGGTTACCAGAAGAGAATGCGAATATTATCGACTCGAAATCTGAAATAGTAAGTTAGGAGACTGATCATTATCATATCATGAAGGCAAAATTAACATAACTTATTCCTCCATTATTATCTCTATAGAGTTATTCCTCTATCTATTTACTCTTAGGATCTGTGTTTTTTTGAAAATATTTGACATTGCAATTGCAAAAGTTTATCCACGTCAGGACTGTTAACAGAAAACGTACAAAGCTTTTTACCACCCCTTTCTAGCATATCGTATCATTTTATTAATACCATTTTTATTGAAAACTACAGAGCAAAATATGAGATATTTTTACTACTGCGATCAATTGCTTTTCGTATTATTGCCCCACAGACGAGCGAAGGCTAATAACAAAGATTTGATAAATGTCTTGATATACAGCCATTCCCAGATTGGTTATTTTAACTTTTACATTGTGGGTTATTGAATTGTTTGTTGTATATGCGTTGCCCAATGCGTATACTGGTATAGGAAACGAAGTAATGTTTCCGAATTTAATCATTTTGTACACATACGTCAATTTATAGTTTTTATCTAAAGGAGAAACACAAAGATCATTCGGTGAAAGCGACTCTTATTGCAATATTCAAGCATAGTACGAATTTCATGCAAATTTTACTTCTACCCGCTCTGCTCTATCATGGCCTGATGTATGGATTTTATCTTGGTGAACTTGTTAGAGCTTACACCTCTTGCATTCTGGGCGTAGAACATGTAAGTGCTGTAAAATCAACTTATATTTATTGCGTTGCCGTTCACGTATTTCGTTTAATCAAGAATGCCTTTGGCTAGTAGCCGGTTTCTCATTCAACTCTTTTTCTTTCCCTCGCGGGCTCAAATGTTTCCAACTTATGTTTATGTCCCGTCAATAAACGACATAGCATGATTGACAATGAGAACGTCTACTGTATATGTGTAGCAATGATGGATGAGAATACTAATGTCCGTCTTGTATAAATATTTTAACATTATAAGGTCATAGGACTTATAAACAACAGATTGTTTATTCTAAATTATTAAACTTCCGACAAGTTCCGAGCTCACACGTATAGAACTCAAAGTGTGACGAATCTTAAATTACGTAAAGGACATTAAAAATAAATAATGTATTTATATGTGATTTAGGTTGGATTATCACTGGTGGCTATTTCAATTTCAAGTGCAATATCCTCTGTGTTATCTGGTAAATTGATTGGTCTTTTGGGACGAAATATTACCATTGCTATTTTGCTTGTCGGGGAGACGTTGGCATACGTATTCTGTTTGTTATGGAGGCCAAATGAAGATTCAAAATCTTTAGTTTATGCAATATTTGTTGTGTTCGGAGTTACATATTCGTGTTGGAAAATGTGTATTATAAGTAAGTAACGGCGTTTATTACTTTTTAACGGTAAATAATTTAGCAGTGAAACATCGATCAGTAAATCATCATCATCCTTCCGGTTTTGACTTCAATGATTTATATATAGTATTTAGGGATATAGTCTCTCTCAGATAGTCGCTGTTCTTTACAGTCGCCGCCTATCATTTCAATGTGTAATAGACGTTACCTAAATTTAATCTGTATGATTACAGATTTTTATATAATTTTGCTCTATAGTTAAGTTATTATCCTTATACTCAACCAGGATAGATAGACAAACAACCAACTTTCCTCTTCCACTACTCTCTTAATATCTGATTTATAATTTAACTATCTTATTCAATCATCCATGACACATTTTGTCTCTAAATCCATGGAAGTATACTTGTAAAATTAAACTACCATTTCAATGATTACATTTTGTAGATATGAGAACAATAAAATGATAGTAACTCACATCCCATTATTTTTTTAGTCTCTTACAAATTTTTCTGTTTTAGGTATGTACACAGATTACTTCCCAAAAAATCAGGAGATTGCTTACACTGTGTGGAGTATTTGGATTTTAATCGGAATTGCGATAAGTTTTGTTTGGAGTCCTTTGTTATGTGTCCGTGCCAAACTTTACGTTCATTGCGTTGTTCTATTGCTATCTGTTTCCTGTTATGGTGAGAACTTTTTTGAACATTGTATATATATACATATATATATATTACTACCCTTCCCCTTCAGTCGTCATTTCACTCGTCAACATCAAATTTGTCGCCATTTCCAATTATAAGATTCCAGACACTCGAAATGACGTTTGCTCGTACATATTTTTTTCAGATTTTCTAATGCTTAGTAATGGTTAGTATTTATTTCGTGTTTTAAATAACGTCTATCTTTGCTGTTGCTCAAAATCTCGAATCTGATACATTCCCCACACAAACAGTTATTTAATTTCAAGAAATGGATTACTAATTTTCGTTTTTTTTTGGTACTTTAGTGGTAACTTGTACCTTGTACATGAGCACATTTCTAACATAATATGGTATAAAAGTTTCCCTTTCGCCTAAATGGATGGAATTGTTCAAGGAAACTTGTATAAATAAAGATAATTCGTTCGTTTTCAGGTGTTGCAGAATTTTTCTACAAATCTAATTATCAATCCAGAGAATTAAACATTGAAGTAGAACCTGATGAAAAGCAGCTATTTCAAGAAAAAGACGAACAATAGTGTTTTCTCATCATTTGTGATCATAGCAATACCACTTCAAACTTATTTGTCAAAAATAAATATCGTATATTTTTGCTAGCATAATAGTGCTCCTCTTACCTCAGACAATTGTAATATGTGACAAGGTTATCCAATTTTTCAGATAATTCATATTTTCAATGTACATGTGTAGAGTTAATTGCACAGCTGTTTTGTTTAATCTATGCGGTGCGGAGTCGACAACCGACAGCATTTCTACACGTGCTTTGGGTTGCTGCATAAACCATTACGTTGAAGAATTGTGAGATTGATTGATGGTGTAGTGTTTAGAACGTTAGCCTAACTACATGTTGGCCATATGTCTACAGGGAATCTGTTTGTGCTCACCACATTGAGTGCAATAATTATAATTTTCTTATAAACAATGTCTGATTTTTTCTCAAAATGATACACCGTCATCAAAATGTATTACTATGTTATCGTATATTTTTATTAATGCAAATATTTATAAATGTGATTTTAATTGAAATATATATTATATACGTGATTTATAATCGCTTCGATTATTTGATTAAAATGAGTACGAATAATTTGAAGCACCTGCATGCAAGTTTCGGATACTTTTAGGCCCAACTGGCACGTCTAATTTTACTCGCAAATTCAAGATATCTCTAAACAACTTAATAATATGCAGTTTACGATGGGTATAATCTGTCTGAACTTGATATAGCTAATATTTCAATGAGTTGAATCAGAGAAAGATGAAAATTATTTTTAATTTTTTGACAGTTTTAAGAGCGTGATTTCAGCCAAATGAAATTATTGGAGGAATATCATTATTAAATATCTTTTTGTAAAACTGGTAATAGAAGTGTATTTTTATTGCATATATGCATTCCATTTCACACACTTCGTAATATACACAATTCTCGATATTTGCTTCCACATGGCGGATGTGCGTTAGGTACTTTTTGGATTACAGTCTCTATACACTATAATACCATTCATCCAGCACTCGTAGCGGCAGACTTGAAATCATCAACCATACCCTTTATCATCGTATTCGGCGATTTATCCGGCAGCAATGCATGAGTGAATTTATCATCGGTGGAAAGAGCGAATTTTAATTGAAGCCTTTTAGATGTACTGTTGTTTTTTCACTTTGACAACAAGCTTTGGTCTCGTTTCTTATCCATTCATAATAATACGCAACGTCTGTATATATGCCAGGACTGTAGGGGTATCTTGAATTACAGTGTTTATTTCCGTAACTCGTCACACCGAACATATAAAACCTACCGTCGTCCAACTTCTTGACTAAAGAACCACCTGAATCACCCGTGCAAGTATCTTTTCTTGCCTCCCCTCCTGCACATAAAACCCCTTCTTCAGGTAAACCCCAAACATATTTTGTACATTCTTTGCGTTCCACGTACGGTAGATCAACTTTTTTCAGGTATTTGGCGCCTGGTCCAAATCCAAGAGTAGCTCCCCATCCGTAACTCCATAGGGTATCTTTGTTCATGTTAGTATTAACGGTAGGCAAGCACGCGGGCTGCACGTAGCTGTTGAACATTATTGGTGTGCTGCAAAAAATCATATATATAGATATTTCAAGCTGAATAAAGAATTAGATTAAGTGTGAAGCAAGATCATTACGTCTAATGTACTGTGACAGTCGCAATTCATTATATTTTTATACACATATATATACTTCGAATGCTTGATGATGTAAATAAAATTTTTAAGTCATACATGTTACAATTCGTTTAATATCCAGAACCTTAAGATACAATCCCCTCTTTACATTCATTTTTATTACACCCAAATATTTTACAATTTTTAACAGGTAATGTATATATGGTGAATTTTTTACGATACATACTAAGATTGTACAAAATTTCATGGTAAAGATTTAATTGTATATAAATATTGGTCAACGAGAATAAAAAAAAAACTTATGTCATACAACGCTGTCATTTATCTTCCTACCAAGGTCGCATATGAATACGTCCTAGGACCTAGGTGATATTTTAAAATATTATATTAAAATTAATTTTGATTCAACTTACCCGAGTTCAATCAACGCAATATCGTATCTATAACTCGGTGTTATTTTGAATTTTGGATGAAGTATAAATTTCTTGAGATTTGATTTTTTGAAGACTTGTGTTGTTGATTCCATGTATCCAAACATGCCTTGATGTCTTCCAACATATACTGTGAAAGTATTGATCATATCCCTAAAAACAAAAAAGATGACGTAAGTCACATAACAATGTCGAATAATTAGTATTACTTCACAAAGAGTATTTGAAATATTCATTACCTCGTTTCTGGAAAGCCGAACTCAGTCGAAGCCAGACAGTGAGCAGCAGTTATTAACCAGCGTTCGCATATGATTGTAATGCCACAAAATCTGACGTATTTGCCAACCTGAATAGTAATATTCCAGTTAGCAATCTAATATATTCGAAAAATTGTTTAATCGACTCGTGGTGGCTGACGTTGTTATATACCTTGTCTGATTCTGTGCACCCAGCAGAACAGCGATTACCCATCCATGACGACTGATCTAGGTTTAACAGTTCGTCTTCGATACCGGTATAAATTATAAGAACAAGAAACGCGAAAATGAAAAATTTCAAACTAAAGCAGTGAGTTTATTTAAAATTATTAGATATACTAAGGACGACATACAAATGCTAGCATTAAATACTGGATTGAGGACGAACTGTGAAATGGGTATATTTACACTTGAAGTACAGTATTTTTTTCAAATATAATACTTTTTCATTCACAATTTAGTACAGGCGGAAATTTATGCGTATGATGCCCAAACTTGAAACGTGTAGCGTAACGCAAGTCCATTTTTTATCTCAAAATAAAGTACCTCACCATAAATATAAGAAACTTTGTGTGCTATTTTAAAGAACAGATCCCGGTGGCTCCTTAGGCCTAGGTGGTTTCTGTGAGGGAAGAGAGAGGCAACTAGATTTTTAGGCTATCGATTGTGAAATACCAGCCGTCGAAGACTCGACGAACCGTAAGAAGCTACGATTACTGGTTTATTATATATATCACCTCAACAATGTGGAACATACCTTTTGTAAGATCAATCCATGCCAAGGAAATTCCCCCTTTCTTGCCCATGATCCGCCGACTATTTTCAGTCGAACGTCTGGAAACGGTCGATTGCCGATTCTTGGAAAATATGACTGGTGTTGTCTGCAAGACAAAATGTTTTGTTTTGTTGCTTTCATTTATCACATTTCCCAAATAGAGTAATATTCTCTCTACAATCAAATACCGCGGCATATGCAATAATCTCAATGATTAAGAGCCTATTGATTTTGGATGAATTATGTCGTATAATTGGCGAGTTATTAATTAATTAGTGATGGGACACGCAGTGTCACTATAGAGTCATGAATCGAAACCGCAGTTTCCGCTCTCTGACCGATATTCTCGTTATAATATTGGGATATTTTGTACAAAGACCCCCCCCCAAAAAAAAGTTTTTTTTTTGCATTAGTGGCGGGTGCTTTGTACAAAAGATCCTTATATTGCATATGACTTGGTGATATGATATGCAAAGGACCATAAAAAATATTTTCCTCGTGTACGTATTGGCTCTTCCAAAAAGTTGTTCTTTTCATTTTTGTCCAAAAAATTATAAGCAGTATAATCATCTAAAGTGACATTCATCAAATTCTCTTAATTACTCACAAGTAAGATTTCGAAACATACGTGACGAAAGATGGAGGGCGAAAGTCAAAAGCCTGTTTATGATGTTTTCGATAGATCAGACGTTTATGGTGTAGTTTATAGTGCGCTGGCTTACACATTGCGATCGTAGGCGAAGATGGGACGAGTATGAAAACTAACTTAAATGTATGTAAATATACATTTAAACATACGAGCAGAAGTTTTCTGGTTGTTATATATGTATTATGTAGTGTAGTATATATAATGAAAAGACGTCACATGTATTTGTAGCACGTGTGCGACTTCTTGTCTGAAAGTCATAAAAAAATATTATATTAACTTTTATTCTATTATTGATTGACAGGAAAAGCGCCTTACCTTTGTCGTCGCCTGTTTTCCTCTTCCATGGAACGTCTGAATCTTGATTCATACCGTGAAGCAGACCATCTGTTGTTCATAATTGGCACCTCACCACATTTTCTTGGAAAACATATTTGATCTTCTTCTTTCTGTATGTGTTGTGCCGTTTCTGTAAGTTTAAGATATGATGAGTACCTTCTTAACGCACTTACTCGTCATGTTCTATAGGGGTTACATGATGATATTCGTTTTTAATTATTGTTCATATCTTTCGATTCCATTGTCAATTGTTTAAGTGGTCCAGTAAATCAAACATTTGTGCTACTCATGTTTTAATAGTTACTGAAGGAATATTTAATTTTGGGAATGTGTGAGCCTTCAAATTCATGATGATTATTCTACAACTTCGGAAAAATAGCAGAGGTAAATGTAAAGAGAGATAATGAAGATAGAAGAGGAAAAAGAAATCAATTTTCTTGTATCACTGCATACATTATCGTTATATACATATAGGATTCATTTACTTACTGACTTGAACTCCATTCCATCTGTACGTAACGCCCATGTATGTTTGTTTTGGCGCGTCGGCACCTGATCCTTCCTCATTTTCGGCTTCACTGTTGTCGCTCACATTACATACATGACATGTTTTTGGGCACCACTGAAGCATATGAGAACGAAAGGGTCCGGTGCAGAAATTAGACAGCCGCTCACACGTTTGCCTGTATAAAACGGATCGCACATTTTATTCATTATACAATAAATTCTGCAATTAGTATACCAAGGAGTCGTATGGTATTGTAAAAACTTGGCTACTAAATCAGATTTAAGTACATAGCATTGGTTTGAGTAATTTTTTCTAACAAAACATATTCTATTTATCTCTTCTTTATATAAAACAGTTTGTAGAATGAATCAAACTCTTATAATACAAGATCTGAATGACATTTCGCTTTATTAAAACCTGCTGTATTTTCATGACATAAATGTAAACGATGTATTTATAATATCATTCAAAAGCCATAGAGGGTGTATCGGAGCAACTGAGCAGTTATCTTGGTTTCCTATTCTTCGTTCTGTGTATCAGTATATACTTGGGTTAATAAACGATATCAACAGTGAGAATATCTGACTCGGATGCTACAAGTCTGGCATTTACAGAAAGTTAATTCTACAACGTTCGCCTAGAAGCTCTTTACAACTACGAAGAAATGAGAATTAGTGAGAGGAAACGCAAGAGAAATAGCAACGTTAGGCAACTTTAAAGCAAACTTGCACATCCTTGTTTGCAAAATGCCGTCATTTATTGTACTACAACATAACGCAGGACAAAAACGGACACTCTATCTGTAACATGCTAAACAGTGTTTGACCCAGACATGACCTGACATACCAAGATGACTAAATACCATGTAGTCGTTTGATTTAGGTTTTACATACTTAATATCGAACTATTGATTAAGTGACCAATAATAATTATTATTAGACTAACTTCGGTCAGACAAAACCTATATCAATAGTTTGGATTGTACATTATTTATTAAACTTAATTTTCATCGACTGAGCTAATATGGCATCGCTATTTTGCTCTTTGGCAATCAATTTCAAATATGATATTATTTTCTATACCAGTAAATAAAAAATGGATGAAAAATGCTTCAAAAATTGTTTTTTGACCAGTGTACCAGAGCAACATTTTGCTATATTTGGATAAATAGCAACTTTATTTTGGCGTGTGCGTCTGAGTGGAATTACTTATACCAGAATATATCAGTGAATTTTACGTCCTAGTTGTTGATAATCAATCAATTTTCATATATCTGTCTTCTTGGACACTTTATATATATTTGCAAACCGTAATTAAAAAGAATTGCCGCATAATCTTTCTTTATACGAGACATTCGATCAATAAATGAAATTAATTAGACGGAAGAGAATGATATTTTAAATACAAATATTGGTGCGAGGAGTATTGGTTGTGTCGATAAATTTTTAAATATATGAGCTATTTTTGTATTACAATCCATTTTTATGTGAAGATATCATATTCGCGTTTCGCAAATATGTAAATTCTTTCCCGTAAAAATGCCACTGGTATGTTATATTTAAGATTCATGAGATTTGATGATGGTGAAATTGATAGATCGACACTTCTAACTTTAATCAATTTATTTTAGAAGATAATAAGAATCAATAAAATATTCAAATTTGTTTATTGCATAGTTTTTACAAGCAACATGCTTTGCATGAGGGAAGGATGTGGCAGGTTATTTTGTACCGGACTATATTTCTTTCTTTGTAACGTAGAATATGCTGTAATTATACCCTCGTTGAACGGATATCTTATATCTGTCAACGCACCGACTGGATTCCTGGGTATTATTTTATCTTCATTTACTATTGCTGGCATGATATCAACCCCAATATATGGTCGGATATCCGACAAAACTGGAAGGAATAAACTATTGGCAATTGTGAGTAACTTATTTGAGATTGCAGGAAACTTGATGTATCTTGTCGGAGGTGATTACAGGTTGATTTGGTTTGGAAGAATAATGGCTGGACTTGGAGTTGGTGCAGGTTCTGCTTACATGGGCGTGATATCGAAAACGACAACAGTGGAAGAAAGGACTAGAATGCTATCAATAATAGGTGCTGTGAGAAACATAGGAATGGTTGCTGGTCCTGGTTTCAACCTTTTCTTATTCAAGCTTGATTTCAAGCTTGGATCTTTCAGTGTGAACCAGCTAACTTCGCCTGGCCTACTCATGGCTATGATGTGGGTAATACATACAATTTTTGTTATACTGTTTTTTAAAGACGTACCAATAAACTATGCTGAAACAAGAAAAGTAGAAAAAGACCCAATTCTACCATATAATAATTTGCTTAAAAATACCAGTGTTACAGAAGAAAATACCGATGAAAGAGACATTATCAATCCACTTACAAAAAGCTTTCGTGATGAATTTTTTAGGCCTGAAGTAATTGTTTGCCTTCTAGTGGGTTTTGTAACATGGACTTCTTTGACTGGTCTTGAATCAGCAGTGACACCGATTACTTTATTCTTCTTCGGTTGGCATGACATTGAAAACAGTTTAATATTTGGTGCCGGTGGTCTCGCTGTTGTTATAGTATTTGCTCTAATTGGAATCGCAAGCAAAACGATTGACGATCGTGTCATCATGCTATCAGGCTGCCTCTGTGGTATACTTTGCTATTCGATTTTTACCGTATATACGACCGTGTTATATTTTAGGAAAGACGTAGAAAATCCAAAATGGCTATTGCCAATGTTTTGGATCGACTGGATTATGTTAACGATTTGTATTCCTTCCATTATTATGCCTCTCACGTCCATTTATTCAAAGATTACTAGTATTGAGACGCAAAGTTTCAATCAAGGAATATTACTGATTATTGCTGGCATTGGTAAAATCCTTGGTCCCATATTGTCTTCACTAATGGTGACTCCAAAACGATTACCTATTTTAGGAGGAATTGTTCTAGGATTAACTAGTATTGGTGTTGTTTTTACATGTGCTTCATATGAAATGCTTGTCCCTCCAGACAACCCACGCCCTAATAATAAAAGCGAATGTGATATAAATGAAGCATCGGAGGAAGAAGGTAGTCCTTTGTTATATGATGATGAAACGTAGTTGAAACTATTTTTCGAGAATGACTATATTTACAAAAAAATTTCAGAATGTATGAATATGTATCTATTTTTGATTGACTATTGTTTACTTATATCGTAATATTTGTGGTTGTTAGCTAGCATGCACGGTTCAACTGGAATTCCGCCTGAGACACCCAAATACTCATGTTAACCAATAATAGCTGATTGGTTTCAGACATATCGTCCCGACTTTCTATAAGGCAAACTTATTTGTTTTATAAACATTTTTTGAAATGTGCTCGTCGTGATGTTAATCAAATGAATTTATGTTATTGTGAACGAATATTACTGAATTTTTATGAGGCGATTTCACTTGCTAGGTCAAGAGCTATACTGTGATGGCGAATTTGTCATTGATGAAGTTTGGGAGTGATTTCTGCTTTCTACCATTTTATTTATTTATGATGAAAACATATAAAATAAACACTCTGTATTTTTAGGTTTGTATCCCATTAATATGCTACGTACCGCAAATTTCTGCACTTTGCGTATTCATTTTCTTTTGAGTTTCCTTCATTGCATTGTCCACAACTTTCTGGGCAATTTTCAGCCATCCATGTCGTGTATCTTGGTCTTTCATGGTCACAATATCCTAAATTGGCCCAAACTGGACAATCTTCTCGATTCCTGTCTTCACAATTAACTCTGCCTATAATAATAGAAATAGAGTATTAGGTTTATTTCACTTTTAAGCGATAAATGAATGATGAGATGCTTAATGCTCTTTCAATAGCTACTACTGGTAGTGATGGGCAAATTAAAATGAGCCTGATTGGTAAACTGACTCCGAGGCGTTTCCCAATTGACAATATTTGAATCGCACAATTTTGCAGATCACGTATAACCGGTATCTCGTACGTTGGATTTCGGCATTGGTATGACAGAGTAAAAATGTTTCAGGTTCAGTAAACGATAAGATCAACACCAACTCTCAACAAAAATATGTTTTGCTTCTGATTGGATTTTATAACGAGGCCTGCTACAATACCATTGTGTATTGTTGGGCACAATCTCCCAAACCCAAGATGTGAGTCATCTGCCATCAGATTCTCGAGTCAAGTCCAAGTCCAAAAAATTTTAAAGATAAGATTGATTTAGAATTGGATGACTCGGTTAACTTGAGTCTTTGAAAAAGTGGCATACGTCTCCTCACTACTATGACTGCATCGCCATGTAATTAAATGACATCCCCACTGCTTTTTTGAATGTAAATTTCATACGGCCATTCGTAGGTTTAAATTATTTTATGACGTTGTATTGGTATTATTTTTACACAGAAATTTAAGCTTACAAGAATGTTTTGTGAAAAATTCCTGAAGCTATTTTTGCAATACCAAAAATATAAATTCGACACTCAATGTGTAAATCAAAAACCAAAAGTCAAAACAACGTTATTTTGGTAATTTTCTATACCATGAAAATTGTGATGGAATAGATGTATATGATAAAAATAAAACGAGATGAAGACAATACATGATTATGATTTAAGACGCCCTTGCATAAACTTTATCATTTGCCTATATTAGTTTTTTTCTACGTCATCCAATCCAGGTGGCAAAGACGTATAATGACATTTGCGGGACCACTTTGATCCCTAAATGGGGTCGAAATTTTTTAGCGACATCGGCGGCAACTGAGATCACAGGTGTGCGGCAATAATTCGAAATTTTATCGAATACCTAACTTGGTGTTGTTAGTGTTTGCGCGTCGGCATTTTTCAAATTTCTTTTCATCATTGAGACAGGCAGTTATAAATAAAACGTAAAATTAGTTTAATTTTCATTTAATATCTAAATTATATAATATACATTCAAGCTAGAATTACTTATCTGCGTGTGATCTTTGTACATGCGATTCTCGCCCGAAAGGTCTATTGGAATTACGCTATAATCACTGTAGATTGTATTATTTTCTGAAATATGTAAACAAGTTCCAAAATCAACCATTTTGTGACATTTTATTGTCCATATTTGGAATGACGTCTTTGCTTTATAGTAATTCATCACAGCTGTTCCCAATTTGGGAGACAAGTCGCGCATGTCTCTTATAATTGAACTTGATCTTCTCTAATTTATGTCAACAACTCAATTACCAATTTTAGCACCTGCCACATTGCACCCCAAAATCCGACCATGGTATTTCAAGAATCTGATTGCGGCTTTGCAGTGTATTATACACGTTTAAGTTCATGCAACTTTTTCGAATTTTGCACAATTAGCTACATACAAATTTTTTTATCAATATCGATCAAATAGATATATTTTAGATAAGTTTTACATAGAGATATTTATATATAATATCTACAACAAAAATGCTATCGCGTTATTCTATTTTCTGCTTTCGTGATTGTCCCTTTTCGTTTAAAAAAAAAAATCGATTATTTCCAGATGGCGATTAAGTTCATTTCTATTGTTTCGGTCCCATTTTCAACTTTTCCATTTTGAGCTCACATATTTGCTTTAATTAAGCACATTCGCATAAAAACAAACTATGGCTATTTTACTACACTGTATAGTTAAAATATAAGTCCCAAATAATTACTTGATTTGAATCCCATGTGAAGTACAGTCAGAAACTTTTGTTTCATTGTCAAATTCATAAAATACGTTGATGATGGTGGACGAGGGTTGCTAATATTTATCCAATTTGTCCATTCCGGTTTCCAGATTTTTTTCCAGTCTAAAACCTGTTTATATAAAATTGGATATAATACTTTATCAGTCACACATTCATGCTTGATAAAAAACGACAAATAATAAATTTCAACAAAATCACATAACTAAGTAGTATACTGCAAATGTATTGTGTGTATGAAGCATGGCACAGTCCATTTCTAAATGACAACGCTTGTTCGAATTTCATTTGAAAGTTTTTATGAGTTGAAACTGTTGAAAGTTATATTTATGATTGTGCAATGGATGTATAAATTTTAGATCGACTACGGTGATGTGTCTGCCTAACTATCATCTATTACAGGGGTTGGGAACCTTTTTTAATAAATGGGTCAATTATTCATTTTTATGTTGGTAAAGAAGACCTTGGGTCATAGATATTTAATCATAGTTTGCACCGATGAGAAACTTGCAGTTGCATCATTCCAATAATTATTTGGTTAGTATTATATAATATGTAGTTTTAAGATTTACTGACGGCGCTTTTATTAGGACTGAGGCGATTCGATTTTTCGATATTTATATGCGAAAACATGGATTCACAAGCATGCGATTAATAATGCTATGTCAGATATTTATATTGTTTCAAAAAAGTTTGGAAGGGAATTCCACCCTTAGAGAATTATATATTTTTTGATTGGAGTCACTACTATTCTGCTCCATTGTTTTTCCGATTTATGTGGTCGTTGATTTAAGTCAATAAAAGTTTGTTTTCCACTCGACATTTATGCGGGAAAAAATAAACTGCAAAGTTTCCGTACACCCTCACAAAACATTATGCGACGCCCTTGGTTCGTGCAGCTTCGAAGGGGAACCGCTGTTGCAAGACAAGTTGCGAGAAATAAGCAAATCAATTGTGTTGTTATGTTATAAACGTTATGCTAGCACTGTTGCCAATGTCTACAATTCGGTGTACTATAGTAGTTCACTTATTACTAGGTTGAATTAAGCCGTTTTTTTTATCAATTTTCATCACTGAAATTTCGTTTTTCCATTGAGACTTGTTGGGTCACCAAAAAACTCGGCGAGTCACAAAATAATTTTGGACCAGGTTGTTTTGTTTTATAAGTGGTTTGCAATGGATAGGACATCTTGTTTAAGCTATATCGAATCAATACCGCCAATGGTTGCAAAATTACGACTTTCCAAATATAGTGTTATACTACACTAGTGTCATATTAGAAGCGAACGTGCGCGTAAACTGTATGGATTTATATAGGACGTCATGGAAGCTGAATCGCGTATAAGCGCTGGGAGATTCGCTGTTTGAGACCCCTATTCCTTAATTGATAATTCATATTTATCAAAAAATAAATGGTATTTCTACGTTGCATGGCACATGTAAGCACATGTACATCACAATCTGCAGCACTGTTGCAAAATGGCGGTCGCATTTTTGGGTTGCGGTCGCGACCACTTCAGTAGCGACGTTTTGCGCGTGTATAACGTATTATTGTTGTTGATATGTGCCCGTGCGGCGACGTCGGGTCTCAAGGCAAAATAAAATTTCAAGTTGCTTTCCTCGAATTCAATCCAAATTATACTTTATACAACTTGTCAAAATTTAAAATATAAATCAATAACTAATATTAAATTATACGGAACTAAAAAAAGAAAGAATAACTAGAAAGATTGAAGCTCATGATAATTGAAGAATTCCATGTGAACATTTTTTGAGTAGATGGCAATAGCACTCTTATGTATTTGAAAAACTATTATGGTGATTAAAATTTTTTCCCATATCATAGTTATACAATGTCATGTCTGGCGCATTTTTTAGAAATTTCGTCACTGACCTCTGACCCCAGAACAAAATCATCAGGTAAAATAATCATGACCGAGAATGTTAGCGAAAAGTTTGAATTTCGTTGACTCGAATATTAATATGTATGTGTGATTAATTAAATTGTTTCAAAATCTGAGTAAATTTGATATAGCTTTGCAACAGCCCAATTGGTTTTATAAGAACTGCAATTAATTTATAATTCTTAGTTGTGGTAAATAAAACCTAATATTAACTCCGACGCAGAACAATGGCTGATTGACCTCAAAAATAAACCATACATAAATATGCATGTTTCTTGACAACAGAAATGTTTCGACTTATCACAATGTTGTTTTACATGACAAGAATAACTTTTCGTCCCGTAAAGCTCCATTTCTCACTAAGCATCAATACTAAATGTCGGTGCGAATATTATTAGAGACAAAAAACACCGGCCTGGTCGTTATGGGGTTGCTATAAATTGTACAGAATATTGGTTGCGAAAGTCCTTTTTATGCCAACTGGCTTCTGTGCAAGATTGTGTGTACCAGCCAGTGGATTGATTGTTAGTTTTTTCCCCATCCTAGATCATGATGATTTTTGATTCATATGTAGATTAGCGCGGTGTAGGATAAAAAAAATGGCGTGTGTGTTTTGTGAATTGTGAATCGCATTGTTTACTTTGAAATAAGCACATATGAAACCATAAACTTATAATCAGCTAGTAAAGGATTTCATTTTTAACTTACGAATAAGACTACAATAACAACACAATTTGATCGTGCCCACAATAAGTGATAACCAAGTGAATGACGTCGTTAAAAATTCATGTCTTTAAACTCACTATCAATTATAAGTACTTGTAAGGATTGTGGTATTCGAATTCTTGGTATGTCGAATATAAAATATTTCCATTATAGAACATTAAGATCTGTGGATATTGGCAATAAATTAGGATTGTGAGTCTTCTAAGAAAATATAGTGAAACTTTCCACTTCGGTGTTATTTAAAGATGACAATTACTTAATGGGGGGGTTTCAAGTAGAAGTTTTAAATTGATGTGTATCGGTTATATCTATTCCGTATACTATATTTTGAAACTATATAATTTAACACACATTACAATAGCTATTTCCAGCAAACGCTATTGACGGGTTATTTTATTGGTTGAGTGTCGGAGGACATGACAACAAAATATATCCTTTCCTAACACACGCTCATACGAGAAACATTTGAAAGAATCATCGACGAAAAATTCCTTTCTCATTACGATCGATAGTCACAAGGAAACAAGACCCTCGAAGTTTTAGCTCATCCACCATAAATAGGGAGTGATTTAATACTCGGTAAGTATTTATTATAATGATAATGAATGATGTCATTATGTAATGATACCCTCAACATCCGATATCTTGATTGTAGTAAAATAGTATTATCTTGTTTTTCCTAACAATCGATAATTTGTGGAAGATAACCGCCTTCTAGATTTCGTCTTTACGGATAAGTACATTTTGGGTTAAATTATGATATAAAGTTTTGTCTTGAATAAACACAAATATGACGAGTTTATTTCAAGTTTTTAAAAATATTCATTGGAATATAATTCGATACTAAATATTGACGTCAAACTTTATATCAAAATTTTCCAAAGCACAATGTATTATTCATATAATGAATTGTGAAAAATACGAATTCAATTTACCTGATCCGTTGGTTTGTCAGTTGTTGGTGGATTTCCTGTGATTTCATGAATAACAATACTTCTTTCAGTAACAGGCGTTCTGTTTTCCGTTGAGCCAACGGGAATTGAAACAACCAACGAATAGCACGAAAGAAAGAGAGCACTCAGCACAAAAAATAAAAAGTATTTCATTGAATACCTACCCATACTTTTTATGTTTGCGAGACAATATAAATATCTGCAATCAAAATAATAAGAAAATAATATTATAAATAATAAACAAAACGCTATTGCTATTTTTACAGTACAATTACGATGCATTCGCGCCATCGTTATTCAAAAAATGAAAAATAAGTCATCCTTTGAAATATATTTTTCCGTCATATACCGGGCAGTATGCTAAATGGCAATCTGACCAATGCGACTCTCGCCCACTGGCTTTCTTATCCAGTATGACTCGGCGGCCCAAAAATTTATTTAATTTTAGTTCAATTTTCTAAAAAATGCATCAACTTTCATACAAATTTTCAATATATTTATCCTTTAACCAGACACCGGTTCTGGATGCATATACCGTTACACCTTCTTGTTGCATCAAGCTACGTCGACGATAAGATATCGGCATTTACTAAATTCAATTGTCAAGTGTTTGAATATTTATAGTCTCGTAAAATCTGGTCGAGAGCTATTTTATTTTATCTTGTACTATGGCACGCGCTTGTCGTATAAAAATCATTAATGCGCTGTTTTCTGTTATGTTTTCGTTGTAAGCTGCTTAAAGTTCAAAAATAAATTCCTGCTCCATCATAACTATTTGCATACCGATTTTTGCTACACCTGGTTTGTGACTCTCTAAAATTAGTTTTTATTTTAAACGGTGGTTGGATGTTCTGGGGAGATTAGGATTTACCCATTTCGATCGGAATTCGAAGTTTTTTTTCTTCACATCATATATTTTGAATTAGCAAATGTTAACAAGCGAGTTTATTGAACGGACAATCAAAGGATATAACCTACCCCAAACAAAAATTCTTTGCAGTTGTTGAATATGTTGGTGCTCGGATTAATCGAGAAAGTTTCTCAGCATAAGCTATGACTGGTTCGCTTTCCAAACAAGTTTTCATTAATCAGAATCAATCAGTTATCAATATCTGAGCTTATGCTGCAAAGCATATCAGATCAAGTTGTTGACTCTTTAATTACCATGTTTCGAAAACAAAAGATATTTCTGTATCATAGTCATTCATCTTATCGACAATGACAGATATTTAATTCATTTCAATCAGAATTATTCATTGGTATTTTTATAGTGATAGTGCAATTATATGCTATAAAACTAATATGTACTTGAAGGTAAACAATCGACGCCTCGGGTTTCCAAGAAATCGATTAAACCGATTAAATGAAGAAATAGTATTCAAAAACTGTGAGAATACTATAAAATTAAGTAAATATAAAATTAAGTACATGCTGTAGCAAAAAACCCACATTTAAAATATTTTGACTATGCAATGCTGTTGCAGGTTTTCACCTAAGTAAATTTGTGTTGTTAAATAAATGCCATATGTCTTCTGTTTTCTAGTGATTTCAATAACAAGTGATTTATTATAAATTTTAGAAAATCTTCGATGTATTCAATTTGTGTTTCTCTGTATGGAGATTCCTATTTAATTTTTATTCCATTTAATGAACTTTATCGTGAAATGTAAAACGAAATTATTCATCAATAAAGTTCATTCATTTTATTCGAATAATATATTTATATGTTAATCATATAATTTGAATTAGATAGATTCAGAAATAAAATATTAAACGGGTCATTGGATGATAAATTGGCATGATTTATTGGGAATATTCAAACTGATTTCTAAACAAACTAAAGACGTGTTAAGTAGCTGTTTATAATGCAGGTTACATATCTTTATATCGATGTCTATCTAATTTCTGAAGTTTCACGCAGTCCAATTCAGTGAGATGGCCCAGCAAAAGTAATTGTGTTTGTAGTTGGTCCGAGTTCCCAATAGATAAAATTTGTAAATCAAGAATGCAAAAAGAAGTATTTGGCATTTTAGCGTAGAGAACGTTGAGGTAAACAAAGACTGGTTATTGAGCACCCGTGATCAATACGTCAAAGCACGATCTTTATATTCAGAAAACGCCCGATACAAATGGGAAAACGTTATAAGAAAACTCTTAAGTTTGTGTAAAAGAAAATTTGTGAACCATTTTCCCAGAGACGACAGCTGGTAACGAATCCAGAAAGCACTCGATTGTGCATATAAATTACTGATACCAGAGAGAAAATCATCGAACGAAATGCTTTTCTGAATTGCAAGAACAAATATAAATACAAGCGTGTACATATCATCTCCGATAATTTTTATTACTTCACGTTGCAAAATCAATATATAAATATTTTGGTACAAATATGAATGCCCCAATATGGAATTGTAACGCATTTTATTGGTTCATCAGATGTTATCAAGATAATTGCGAATGATTTGAAATCAAGCAATTTTGTAATTTTATGATATTAGTGTTGTAAATCTTATTTACGTTGATCCTCGTTAGATACTTGCGGTATAAGATTATACATGTTATAATTTACTACGTTTGTGTGTAACAATCTTTTCTGGAATTATTTATAGATTTAAGAAAACATTCATTGCGATATGTTCATATTTGAACATCTAATTAATCTTCCTAAAACAAAAATATTGAGCGTGTTGTATTTCATACATAACTTCGAAGCGCTTCACGCAGTCGAAAACAAAACGACAACAAATAAAACAAAATAAAGGCACTTAATAATAGGGTGACCCACTCACACGTTTCTACCTATTCTACTTTCATATTCTATTTTGATTTCGAATTAATTATGGAGCAATCTACAATATTTCAACATAGAAATAAACAAAAACATTGTTGGAATACACAGAAGAAGATTTTAAATGTATCCATATTCGGAAGCACCTTTCCCGAAGTATCGTACACTTTCTCATAACCGACTACGTTTTATCAAGTCTGTCTTTGATTTGCCAAAGAACTCGGCGTTCTGTTAATATTCGGAATCTCATAGATTTCCCCATCGCGATCTTTATACGGTGCAATGCGTTATAAAAAATCCTTTGAGAGTCTGAGGGTTCCCCGTTGTTTCTTCGGAGCATCGTCAGACGTGTTCAATAATTTTCAACTTCTGGGCCAAGTCTGTGCCAAATCACATTGGAGTATTATAATAACACTCGGATTATTTCAATATTTTGTTACCGATCCGCAAGCTCATTTTAATCGATTTTGCTTATCCGCCGGGGTAAAAAGGTTGGAAACCACTCAACTAAACAGTTACGTACGTAGAATATATTGATTTTTGAACTTTTCTCGTTGTGGGGTCGCGAGTATCTGTAGTCTTCGATTTCATGAAAACTGGGGTCGCAGAAAAAAAAAGTTTGGGAACCCCCTATCTAGACAGCCGTCTCTGAAAAAGAAGCACATGACAAGTGACACACGTTCACGTAACTACTTGAATTATTGCGACAGGAATCACTTCTGGTTAACGTACTGGCCTATATACTACAACAGTTGCCATGTGTTAACTTATTGAAAGAAAATGTTTGAATCAATTATTTTTTGAGAACTCCCTATCGGTAGCTGCTTTAGGTCATTAGGTATGAATCTTCCGTAATTAATGCTAAAAATGAGAAATCCAGGTAGCACTCAGGTGTCGATGAATGGCATCTAGCGCGCTGCGATTCCAGCACTTTATAGTCACAATCTTGCACATAAAAAAGTTCTGCATGTTTATTTAATCGAATTCCGGTAGTAAGATAACCGTGAATAGGGGCACCACAAGTACGGTTGTAGCAGAGCACGTGATTTGGTAAAGTAATGGTAACTTGAACAAAATTTGAAGAAAAACGTCATCAGTCATTGATAGGAGCTTGGACATTATTTCAGCTGTTCTAACACTAGTACAGATTTGGCGGACGTATGTGAGGATGTTCATGATTCGCTACAAGAAATAATTATCAGGAAATCTCGAAAGTTTATTTATATTTAACGACTCGACTTGAAGTGTACTGTATGAGACTCTCATTTACAAGTTATGGCATCTTACCTAACCAAGGACTAATCAAACGAAGTATGCTTTTAATAGTACATAACTGAAAACTTTACTACTTATAGTTCACTTTACAGATTGCCTCGTTGAGGGGTATGATATCCATGAAGTCATTATTAGTTTCCTACTCTCCGCACGATGTCACTATTGAGCATGGAAAATTCCATTCGCACATTCACAAATTTATACAAACGGTCGTGATTCGGCAACCTAATATTCTGATTTTAACGTCGTCTGCAAATGTGCGATTTCACTGACATGCTCGAAAATATAAACGTCACATCATTCCTTAATCATCCGCTTCCAAACGTATTTTTTGTCTCCGAAAATTTATATGATCCGAAAGGGAAAGCTTTTTTTTATTTAGGACCTATTTTTCAAACTTGGTCTTGGTGACTATGAAAATCCTAAGGTGATACATATTAAAGTGATAAATTTGAAAGAATGGTAATAAAATCAACTCGGTACTAATGTCATAATTTTATAAATGATAATTGTGAATATTGAAAGCTAAATGCTTGCGTGAAATATGATACAGATATCGCGATGTTATTATGCATAATTACTCCGAGTGAAAACATTGAATGACATCATAGTAGAGAGATATTATAATACCAGGGCGTCCCTGAAAATAATCGACTCCATCAAAACATAACAAATAGTTTCGAACAGTAGCAGTAAGCCAGCTATATGTCTCCTATATCGCATTCGAGACGAGAACTTATTTTGACTAGTAATGTGGAATATTTAGAATCCTAACAGGTAAAAATGGTTTTCTCCAACCCATGTAGACAAAAGATAGAAACAGTCTCAACGACCAAACAAAATAAATAGTAAGTCAAAATCACGTTAACTCAATTCCAAACATCGAGGGCTTATTCGCAGTTTGAATGTACTGATATGAAGCAAACGATATCTTTGCAAATCTTATATGAATTTCTGCCTACCAGTTGTGCAGTCCCTATTATAAAGATCTTACAAACACCATCCCATTTCTAACGCTAATCGAACTAACAATGACATTATATAGTTGTTGCTCTTATTGTTTCATAAAATATTTTCTACTTTCTCTCTCTAAATAAAACAAGCAAATAGGAATAATACACGCTTATAAAACAGGAGATCTACCAGAGAAACGAGCACCCATACAATATAGAAGGATATATGTTATCGGTCACATTAAAATTCTACAACTACATAATTTTATAAAAACTCTCAAAAATACAGTTTCATATAAATTCTGTGTTCAAACAGAAAAAGGCTTTTAGAGACTTTTTTATAAAAAAAAAATCGAACAGGCATAATAAAAATTAATCTAAAACGGTATATAGAGAGCTGACAGTGTATGCCCAAAGGAATGTGTTCTCATCATTTGATATAACGTGAAATTATATGTTGTTTGACAAGTTTTCTTTTTTTGAATCCAAGCTTTGAAATAACAGCCGAACCAAAAGTACGAATTTCTTTCACTTCAACTGCTGTTATTATTGCTCCACCACAGCCAAGGCCAATAACCTGACAACCTTCATAAAAAACGACAACCAATTCTGTTAATAACAATATCAAGCTTTTGACTTCCGTGATATGGCATCCCGAATCTGTCTATCCAGCTCTGAAATGATACGGTCCTCCCTTGAGTAAACTCCGGTGCGCAGCAGAGTGTCTCTTTCCTCTATCAAGCGGGCGACGTGTTCATCTATATGTTCATCGGCCTTAGTCATTCTCAGCGTTGGCTCATATGGTTCAGCAGCTGTCGTCATCTGAGTACCGATTACAATTGTTGATGGATCACGCTTTACATCAGATGCTTCTTTTGCCTTCAATCTGAAGTAATGACAGTTCAATATCAGTGAAAAGAGTATAGAAGATTATTAATTATATCATTTCACAGCAAAAACTGTTTTAAATATCAACAGCATTGCTGTGAATGCATTATGCGAGCTTTTCCTTGGTATCGGAGGAAAGATTTCAAGTCTTGAATTCGGAAGCCTGAGTTAAAATTGAGTCGACGAAAAAACATGTAAATATGCTTGTTAAAGCCCAACTAATCGAGATCGAATCAAACAGAATTCTTTCAAAACACATCATCCCTATAAATGAAAATATGCCTCAGAAGAGTCTGATTGGGCTAAGTCGGAAAAATGACATACTGGGCAAAAATAATACTTGGGTCGTCAGTTAGTCGCGGATCGCTCAATAGTGTGTTATGAACTATGACAGATTATACAGGATAACTCTGAGCAGGGGGCTGGATATCAACATGAGAAATGTTCAAATTGGACGTGTAAAAAACGCCGTTCCAACTCCACACCATATTCATTTCGACAACTTATATTCCAAGGAAGAAAAGTAAAAGGGATGGATGGCTTTCCACTGCTATAGTCTTTCAACATTATTTGACGTATCATTTCTTTTAAGACTTACTCCTTTTTTATGACAGTCTTTTATATCATAGGACGTTAGGTCAGATTATAAAAGAATCATTTAGTCGTTACTTTTACGGTTATACCGCGTGGTTAAAACATCCCCATTTCCGATAGCCAACGTAAAAATATTTGATATGGATAAATCTTGGATAGATCCTACTTGATAGTGAGTAGTTTTCGATATCTTCATACATGAAAGAGCTTAATCGTTCTGAGTATTTTTGCTTGGTGGGATAAAATATAAAAGACGATAAACGCAGAAAATAATTTTATTATAAGACATATGCGGCTTCTAAACTTTGATCATACAATAGAAAATCATGACCATTAAAAGGAGTCAGCTAATAAACACTGAAATACTCGATGGTAAAATATTGCAATAAATTCGTCTCAATTCTGTGAGTATTATGTTTCGATAATAATTAGTGGATTTGTAATGCTTAGCAACGCGCGTTTATATTTAATAAAATTTTTGGTATGTCTTTATTTACGCAGTCGAAATATGTAACATGAACAATATAGCTAGAATAAAAAAAGAATCTTGAAATATACCGACTTATACCATTATTTATAATACCACCTGTTATTGTATAAGAGCTCAAATAAAGTTTCGTTTCCAATGTACACTATAATAACAAATCATTTTAACAAAACCGTTTTTGAATGTCTGGCTCAAAAGTTCATAAAACAGGTTGTAGCGGAAAGAGAATTTCAGTCTGCAATTCAAATTTTCTTGATGGATGGATAAAACATTTTCATATTATTTAACAGCAAACCTTTCCAATTCTTCTTTGATTTCCAACAGTTGCTTTTGCCCTTCTTTATCCGATTTTCTTTCTTCGTCTGCAAAATATTTCATTCTCATTTGCTCTAATTCTTCTTGTTGTCGTTTTAAATTCGCCTGTGGATGAGGTTATGAATTATAAAATGGCAATTCTCGTTAAAATTAAATCGATTGGGAAAGATTGATTATTTAGCATCATTTGGGTACAATATGATAGTTAGAGCATTGAATTTTCAATTCAAAATTTCGAGAAAACACTCTCGATCTGGTAAAGGAAATTCGATTCAAGCTGAAACGCGGTTCAAAATAATGGCAAAAATGACATATTCTCATAACTTACGTTTACGAATACGCAAAAGAGTCAAATTTTCGGATGAACTTTAAAAATACATTGCCAATAAATTTAATTAAGAATTATGTTCTATCTGACGCAAAACGCACAAAAATTCGATCATAATTTCTCCGAATAGCATTAATTTTGAATTGTGTCAAGATAGTTTTGAACACTCCCATAGCAATGGGATGAGTATTGCATCATTTCTCCGATTTCGCTGTCCAGTCAATTCCAGTATTAGAAAAACAAAAATTACCGCACACATAAATCAAACATACCTTACCAGTGACAGACAATCTATAACAAACACCTTTACGTAATGTACACAACGTTCCCGCCAGCTTGATATATACGAAATGACAATGCAATTTGGACGTAGGAAAGGAGTGGTCAAATTCAGTTAAAAGGATTGTCAAAAACCTCGAATCAAAACATCATACCTCTTGCACTTCAATTTGGAATACTTCGGAGCGTTTATTTGCGTGATTTGTTACGTTGCAACTTGCAACCTATGGATCGCGACCCAAAACTGGGTCGCCTGAAAATCTTCTTACTGATTTATTTTTTGGTAAATTTAATGTTTGTTTCATATTTGGAATGAAAGTATTGCTCAATTGTTTATGCGGGAAGTATTACTACGTAAGAACCAAGCAGCATCTATTTTGCCACCCACAATTCCAAAAATTCGCTGATGACAGACAAGTGCAGTTCTCTCACTTGTAAGTAATTTATGGGAAAATATTTGTTTAATATCATACTAGCACTATACGGCGCTTAGTATTAGAGCATATTTTTGGATCCCGGGAAATACCAAAATTATTTTTTAATTCTGATCGAATGGAAAAAAGGTCGGGAACCACTGACATGAGATATAATTAGTACGAATGGACATATGCTCCCAAGCGCTATTCAAATGGCCTACACCGTGGAGGTCTAATGGACAGCCATTTAAATTTGAATTTTAGCGCAGCTACACAACCTATCCATTGCAACATAAAACAAATTTCCGTCATAAGAAGGATAATGCAGAATTCTAGCACATTTATATTTGTTTTGTGTAAAATGTATAGTCAGTATTGTAGTTAGTTGACCGGGGCCATTTTCAAATATATCGGATGAAGAAAAGTTTCGTAAAAATTTTGTTATATTTCAAATATAAAGTAAAATTAATTTGAGGCAAGATATTAAAAGAATCACCAGTTGTGCGATTTTAAATCACATCGATCGCAATGTTTATTTCATGGCATTGTGAGTGCGTGCATCTGTTTGCAGCAATACACCAAAGCAAATTTACTTTCAAACATTCAAACTTGTATATTTTATGTCCTCACTCTTCATTTCATACACAGAGCATCTTCAAATAAAATATAACAATTTACAGGCGAATCTTTCGTCTTGCGCAGTAACTGGTCATGGCATGTTTGTTTGTCCAGAATGAATTCGCCACTTCTATGTCCATATGATCAAACAATATTTCGGGAAATATAGGACATATCGGCTCCTCTTAGCGAAATGCAATTAAATATCGCTTCCGCGAACATGAGAGAAAACTTAAATTGGGTAAAGATAAGCAAGTGGGCGATGACAGAATGTCACACAATTATGATGTCATAAACACAGCATTGTTGGGCAAGAAACGTGATAATGATGAATTAATTGTTAACGCCAAACAAGACAAGAGAGCGATGCTTAAATATATGAACACGAAGGCTAAAATACATAGTACGGTATGCAATTTTTAACAGTAGACTACTGTTACAGCAGTATTCGGGACTTCGCCTGACCACCAAATAACAGCCAACGCGGAACCCCCATATGATGCGCAATTTCTAATTTTGATGAAGTCATCGTACACAAAAAAAACAAATCCCATAGAGCCCACAAATAATTGAGGAGTGAATAAAAGTTATATAAATATTAAATATACAATCTTTAAACGCTGAAAATTTTAAAGCAATTGGTTCTGTAGTTAAATAGAGAAGCGATTTTTTTCATAACGATAATAATAAGAAGAATATTAATAAGAACAACATAATAATAACAAAACGATCCATAGAGCCATTTCGTGTTGAAAAAACAAAGTTACAAACTATTTTGTAATGCTAATATTTCTCAATTGTGTGAATCTAAAGTCCAGGTCCAACACCCTGATAACATCTAAAAAATGTACACTACTGGAAAAAATTAGTAAAATCGCTGTTATTATGTTATAATAAAGATGAGAACGTTTGGTTAAAGAAAGAAACGGAAAATTTGAAGCTTCCATGACGCGACCAACCAGTGAACGACTGCAGAATTCAAGTTATTTCGACAGTCATTGTCGTGTACAACTGTACAAACAATATGAATCGTATGATTATTAGTATAATAAATTTAGCGAAAATAAGCATCAGCTATGCGACGAGTACACATAAATTGCTATAATAACCGATTATCACTAATTTGTTCGACTGATTTTAATTCTAATCATCATGTGACAGCGGTTAAACAATGTTTATTTTTAGAACAGTCATTATAGGACAAAGAGATAAACCCCAATTGCGCTCTGACTGAGCAGCAACCGTTTAGTATGCACATAAGCTTTCGACGTTTGCCAGAAACAAATTTAAATAAAATGACCAGTATGTATTGCGGTAACACGAGTACTTTGTACACACGTTGGCTTAAAGCAAATAATGACTAAGAAAAGAACTGACCTGAGTTATTACCTACTAGTAGAAATAGTACTCGTATCTCTGGCATGCAAATAGTTATATATGGGTATATATAAATCCTTGCCACGGAACTGGCTGCAGATAGTGAGTCACTTGAAAAATGTAATTCAACAAAGTCATGAAAACCTCGAAGACAGTGTTTCCCAAACTTTTATGACTCGTGGCCCCCTCGGAGGCTTTTAGCAATCGTGACCCCCCTGTTCAACATTTCAAAAACACGAGCAATGCACGCATTGCGAACATGCTAGGATTATTTCGGTCAAGTCCAAGTCAACGAAATTGTCGTCTCAGTTTCGCAACACGTTAGATCTTCAGGAAATCTACTATCATAGAAAATTCATGACATTCATTCATTTAGTGCGTATGGGAACCCGAGGCTAATGTTGTAAATCGGACTGTCCTAAAGTTTGGATGGCATTTCGGACAAGAAGTACCTTATCTCTAATGAAATGAGCTAAAACAAGCCAGATTTTGTCGACAACATAAAAAATAATAAAGCAAACAATACTTATATGTTGTCAGCACAAGGCAATATCGTCAATCAGCATGAAATTGTTGTCATATTTAGGTTTTGATAATGGTAAAGTGGCGAAAGATGGATAGTTTATTTCGAAACGCTAATCTTCAGTATTCTCATCTTAAACACTGCGGTTTTCAAGTCGTTTTGCTCAAATCTTTTTTCAAATTAAAATAAATATGGGGGATGGGGGTGTCAAACAAAATTTGAAACAAACACATTTCAATCTCAATTTTTATGGCATTTTATTGTATCTTGCAACTGGGAGTCGGAGTCTAAAGATTTTTTCCACTCGGCGGCGGGAATGGTAGTTGATTGAAATTAACCTTCACTCGACAACCCTTTAACAATGAAGGTCACAGACGCATTCCGCTGCACAATAACTAGAATCTACTCCCCCAGTGAGTTTCAACCAGGGTTTCGCGCCCCACTAGGGTTTCGTCAGTACAGTCGAGGGGTTCCACAAGTTTCCATCCACATCCGAGAGTCTATATTAATATATGTATATTGTTTAAATATAATCAATGACCTATTAGATTTGCCACTGCTATCAAACTTGATATGCTTAAAAGATCATTTTGTTTCGCCAGTATAAGGTTTGCTCAATATATACAATTTAGTCAATATAAGACAATCAGATAAACTATTTATTGCACAGGGATTTTTCAATTCTCTGGAATGTTTCATTAGGATTACGCTCCAGCAAAAATGTCAAAAAACCCTGATCGAAACCAGGTATGTTCCCATATAGCCCACAATTGTGATTACGGGGAAAGGTAAACATACAAAATTTAAATTTATTTCTCAAAGAACGAGTGTATACAAAAGCACTCTCATTTGCGTGTTTATTTATTACCATACTACAAAAACAACCCGAACGCCATGGGCCGTGTAAGATATTGCTAACGTCTGAAGGTGTGGTTACAAATAAACCAGCATCTCATTCTTACGTGGGTGGTGATGGCAATACCACTCAAAATGCTTGGCCTTATAACGGGCATTCCTCAAGTAGTGCGAAAGTAACGTTTATACCTTTGCAAAAAACTAATTCAGTTTTTAATAAAAATGTTGCAAAGACGCTAACTAGACAAACATAATAACAACTCGATCAGAGTGGCGTGGTCACCTGCAACAAACAAACTTTAATCTTATGTTATATGTTGGTCCGCAGAAACAGAATTCAAAACGTTTTGAGCGCATCCTGGTCATTTATATTTCGATGGTAGAATTGACAAAAAGTTATATTGAAAAAATCAGCAATACCCGTTTCTCCATAGTGGTTATTTCATTAGAGGAATTTTGATAAAGTGTATTTTGCGACTGTTCAAATATGCCTTGAGCGGCATTTTCAAAACCGGGAATTTCCACGACTCTTCAAAAATATAAAAATAAATACGGTATGATTGATTGTTGGTTGGAATCATTTAGAAGAAAGGCTCTGCTTTCTCCAGATACGCAATATATGTTATTTGGCATAGATTGGCGTATAAAATATTGATGCGCCATAAAATTAAATGGCGATAAATTACTATTCCGGTTAGTTCCAAAGGTCGCAAGACTTAATAAGCTAATTTTCCAAGTAAACGCGTGATAACATTTATTACATTACAACGGATTTTGAATCCCAACAATTTGGATAATTGAGTTTTAAATTCAGGGCGAATCAGGCTTGACTAATTACTATAGGGTGGGCATTTTCTAATACTCGATAATTTCAGAATCGAATATTTTTTTTCAATCGAATCTCGAATACTTGGAAGAAATGTAATTGTATGTTTTTTTTTATTGTGATGGATCCTCCGAACATATCAATTACTGAAAACATAGAATTTATGACTCAGACAGTTCGCTGCGCGTTCAAAAACAATAAGAAACACGTTTCATCAAAAGCTCACTAGGAAGAAATGAGTCGTATATGTAAGAATTGTATTTTGAATATATTGCTTCAATCAAAAATTAATTGGGGATTCATCTCGACCTTCAGCGAACAAAAAAAAAAAAAGATGGCGGCGATTCGAAATTTTTGTCGAATGATATACTATTCGATCTGATTCGAAATGACGAGGCCTACGCATAACCCATATCCATGATAAATATATTCAACTAAATACGAAGACCCGCATACAGAAAAAGTTAGATGTAGTTAGAAGTACAGTTTGATCTGGAACATTTCGAACGGTTTCAATGATGATCTTACTTCGATCAGAGGTAAAAACCATACCAAACTCATCACAAATTTGTTAAAACAAAATGGCGTCTTGAAGATCATACCGAAGATATTCCGCTAGTCGCTAAGCAAAAATCATTTTTTGAAAGGTCATAAAATTTAATTGCATTGTTTATTAAGAGAGTATGGCTACTTCAACACGCGTAATCTGCTCCCAGCAAAGCTTATACAACGTTTTAAACGACCAAACTTTTGTGTTTCCTTATCTATGAGCCATGACTGATACGAGTAATCAAATTTCGTAAAACCATCATGGGTAAACATGCGCTATTACAACATAGCTGGAAGGAATACATGGAAAGAGACAATGCCTGACCTGGCCAAGCCAGAACCGCAGAAAAACCGCACATTGGTGCAATTCCGCGTCTTTTTGCATTACGTGTTTGGTACATTTCTGGCAATAGTCGCACGCAAACATTTTATTTTAAAACGCCCCCACTTTGAAAATTTGCTGTCCAGAGAGAGTAAACAATATATTACTCCCACTTTTATTATCATATTATACTGGCGGGGATAGGCCTCAGAGTGGACCGAAATTCCGAATTTGACGTGACAAGTAAACAAGGCCATGAAAATGCTAATAGATAGCGTTAACAGTTGAATCTCAATTTTTTTTCGCAATTATTCCAACAAGATAGAAATTATCTCGGATTTTTATGCGGGCGATCACACGATGTTCATTCAACTTTCCCTTTCAAAGGATTAAACAGCTAATAAACAAAATCTCCGCTAAAAACAGATGACATGGAAAACTCGAGCGAAGCTCGCCGTTGCACACAAAAACTATTGGCAGACATAGTACTTGCCATCTTGAGTACAGGCAGCAGATGGCACGGCTAACTCGACGAAATTGCATTCGCGCACCTTACTAGTAATATAATATCTCATATGAACCTTACCATAGCGTGGTCTTGTTCTCTTTGTTTCAACCTAGCAAGTTCTTTTAATGCTCTTCCCCACTGTTGTTTGTAATGCAGTTTAGATTTGTTGACTGATTCCAGTTTTCTCTCCAATTCATTCTTTTCCAAAGTCATCAACTGAAGTTCGGACTGAAGTCGGACTTCGGGCATGTTGTTTTGCTCTAATTTAAAATTCTTAAAACAAAGGAACAATATTACAATGATTATCGTAAAAAGAAAAATCTATATTTTATATTACATGTAAAGGGTGCTGAAAGAAGATAATTTAAGCTACTAAAAATTGTGAAATGTACTAGTATTTACGGGTGCAATGATGAAAATTTGACATCCTGTCTTTGCCAAAAATATATCCATTTTTTTTAAAATCAATAACAATTTAACATTTTTCGAAACAAAATAATACAAATGATATCAGTGGAAATATAGCTTTTTAAGCAGAAAAAAATGAACAGTTATACCTGGAATTTTTGTTCCAGAGATGAATATTTTCTTTCAGCATCAACAAGATGTGATTTGAGTTTCGTATTCTCTTCTTCCAATATTTTGATTCGTCCCCTGACGTGCAAAAATTGGCGATAATAAGGCATCAGTGGTTGAACACAACGACAAAAATTTTCCAATGCAGTAATTTTATAAAAAATATAGAGAAATGTAAAATAAAAGTGATTGAGGTGAAATTTTCGAATATTTCCGCGAATTTCGAATTTGATATTAGCGCAATTTTCAATCCCAAGTGCCCAAAATATAATCACGGAAAATTTATTCTAGAATATTCATCGCTAACGCGTACTCTTATGGACAGAGATTTTTAGGGGTTAGGCTGTTAGGAAAAACGAAGATTGAGTGCCAATATAAAGCCATTTTGCCAAGTTACGAGAAGATAATACCCGAAAGTGATAAATTTCAGTAAATTAGACATACCTTTCCAATTGTACCTGATGAACACAGTCGTCTTTCATTCTGCTTGTTGCTTCTTTAGCTTGTGCCAGTACTCTCTCGTGTTCGCGCCGAACATCCGTTCGAATTCTTGCCAACTATGCAAAATTTATAAATTTTAAGTAACGGATTAAGATAAGGCCAAACAGCCATAAAATATCAATGAAATTTATATGTGTGGTATACAAAAATTATGAGAAGTTTTGTCGATATTGATTCTATGGTATTTGGATATAATGTATTGACTATGTTATGTAATGCAGGTCCTTTCTTCTTGTTAACTCCATACTTCGGATGTTTAAACACCAACCTCGAGTTCGTTGTTAGACAATTGTTTTTCTCTGGCTTCAACTTCTGCTAAAGATTTTCTCAATTTTGTTTCCAATCTGTTGTATTCAGTTATTCTTTTAGAAACAATGGCTTCTCGTTCTTTGTCCCGTCTCTGCCATTCTTCCGCCAGTGACTTCATATGAGCAAGCTCCTTCTCTTTTAACTGTAATAAAACATAGGATTATAATAACACAAACGTGATTTCCTAAAACAATGTGACAAAAAATATTATGCGAGTTTTATACTTCGCCAGCAAATCAGAATTTCGTTGTGTCATGTGTTCCACTCTGGGCTGTGAGGTCGGTGAATTTTCACAAATGAATCAGACTTATGACTTCAAAAAATTTAGATTTTAAGTGAAATTGATAACAAAAACTTTGGCGTATGTAAACTATATTGGATTTTTTAAATATTTAAATGCTTATGATCGACGAAAAACTGAAATCCCAAAACAAAATGTACATACCGGTACATTAAGATTTTTTGTAAAATATCTGGAAGGGATCTTTCATGACTTTAAGATGACACTGGATAAACAAGCGACATCGTATTTTGAAATAAATTCCTTATACCACTCAAAATACAAGCTCCTACTTTATTGTGTACAGTTCGACCCCATACATAGATAACAAAGTATTTAATCCAACACGATAGTGTGAGAACATAACGTCAGTCACGTAGTACAGATTTGATATCAAAAGTTGTAATGACGCCATTAATACACTCTTAATTAGAGAACTGGGGGTCTTTAAATTTTAATATTTGAATAAAATTGTAGCGGAATTCATTAAATAAAAAGTAATATGGAAACCCAATTATGCAATTTGCTTATAGCAGACAGAAACTCATTAGCATGGATTTACTGAATGTAAAATTCCAATTTTATATCACGTAATAATTTAATACCATCTCTGAAGGGAACCGTACCAAAAAAGCTTTCAAAAATTTAGACTACTTGGTCTCGGAAAATGCAGGAGTCTGAAGCGTGGGAAAGTCGCCGAGTTCAATTAATGTCCGAAATATGTCGAGACACAGCCTACATTGGCTTATGAAAAACAATTTGTGCTCATAACATGTTGTTAAGAAACAAACAATATTCCGAGTATTTAATAAAGTTGCACCTGCTTGGATCTAGCCAACGAGGCCAACTCATTATGTTGCCATAACGCGTATTGAAAAGTCCTCTTTTCAATATTATATTATCGTTTTTTTGCAGGCGCTAGGAAACGTTAAGTGGGGTGATTATCACAAAATCGTTTATCAACTACGGCTATTCTCTCAGATGGAGGATGACATGTGTCGATTTTCAAATTTAACTTAACTTCATATAAATTCCAATGCAAACAAGGTTGCGGAAGTTTGCTAGAGGTTCAAAAAAGCGCCGGCTTCCATAAAAGATTGATGTCCCGAGATTCACCCGGAAATGATCGCCTAAATCGCTGGTCTCGACAATAAGCAGTTACAAAATGATACGACAGGACGACGTGGATTTCATAATCGCCTTGGTTTTGCGTTCCTATCTCGCGGGAAAATCGCTGTGTGCTCTGCTATAATCGTGAGAAATATTGAGATTACATTGTTGCTAGGAGTCCTGATGAAATGGAGTTTGAACCAATTCATGTAAATGTTGTTTTTAATTACAAGGTCATGAGAAAGCAGTACATGTTTGAAATGTACACAAAATTCAGTACGCCCGTAGTGTGAGTACAAGGTTAGGGTTAGGCCATAATTTTATTCCGATTTTCCTTATTTTAGTTCTATTACGTGTTCGGGACTGCCTGTGTTAGGCAAGTGAATATACCCCTAATAGGTTTCAGTCCCTTCACACAACTGATGTAAAGTAGGGGAACAAAATTAGTTACATCCATATTGGAACACACACTTCTGGAGCGCCCAAAATTCTGTCTCAATATGTAGAAGTATCTACACGAACTCGCTGCCTGAAAGGTGACACAAAAAAGATACCATGCATTGTTAAAACTCACAAAAACGACTATTGGTGACCTTCATTCCGGTAGCCTATGAGTGCATGCTTCCGACGCTTTTGCTAAGCCACAAAAGTCACGCAGAGGCGATGAAACATTTCCAACAAAAAAAGTGGTTTTTGAGTGCTGTACTTTTTCGCCCACCTGTTGTTGGTCTATAAGGAAACCCAGCAATTAGCTGGTGAAAATGTATTCTTAGCATTGAGCGTGGGAAGTACAGACTGCGATACAGCCATGTTCTATCATTCTATGGCTGTTTGATATCATCAAGAACATCAGGCAAAAACGAAAATGCGCAGCAATGGCATAAACCGTCACAACCTAGTGTAATCAGCTGGTAACAACACGCAGTTAAATATTTTGACAGGAATATTGCAGTGCGTTGAATATACCAACTGTTAGACGATATTTATATATAGCAAATGTATATGGAATTTGAGTATACAGAAAACGTACGGAAGCCGGTTAAAAGTAAATTCAAAGATGGAAGATGATACATTGCTCATAAAGAAATTATTCTACTTTTCTGGAACGTTTTACGTTCTTCAAAACCATGTTATGAAGGGATTGAGAGAATGCAAATATTAGCACGATTTTTCGCATAAAAAAGCAGAAAAATCTAATTTCGGGTATCTAGTCAAGAGATGAATAAGAACCCTACACTAGAAGCAAAAAAAAACGGATCCAGCTACACGCCCACCACACTTAATCGATTATAACACCGACGTACGTTTTACTAATTCTTTCCATTTTTCTGATTTCGATCAATATCAATATTCCATTAGTCATCAAATCAATTATACTAATGTATTTTATCAAAACATTGAAAGAGTTTACCCAGGAGACCACTACCACATGCAAGACATGCTAAGATTTGAGCAGGTTCTCAGTTGCAGTTTATCGAAATATCATTGAAAGAGTGCGAGGGAGAGCGTTGAAGTTGATTGCCAAAAAATAATTGTACTGATTTTTTCACATTATACGCGTTTGTTTACAAAGTGGATTTGAATAAAAAGCATAGTTATCGGAAAGCAGTCTCCGGTGTTCAATAGAAAACGACCTGGAGTTCATCAATCCAGCGCAATTATGTGAAATTTATTGAAATCATACGGTTTTTGGACACGGGAGTGGACTTATGGATCGTTTTGTTATTATGTTGTTGTTGTGAAAAAACGCTTTTCTCCTCAACAGCTGGACTAATTGCTTCGAAATTGTCAGTGGTTAAAGCTTGAAGGCTATCTGTGGCCTTTATTGGTATCGTTATTCACTTCGCAGTTTTGTGAGATGGCGTCATCAAAATTCAAAATTGCGTGCAGTGGTTCCGTGATCACATGTAAGTGATCTGTTTATCAGACTACCGGTATTGTAAAAGATTTGATATCACTTCGTCTTGGCCTTGGCCCCATATATTTGAGCATTGCTCTTTTGTTTTCTATGTTTCCCTAATAACAATAATATTTGCACATGATGTGTGTTCAGTTGTCATAATAAAAGAAATGACACTGAGATCAGCAGACATACAAAAATGTCATAACAACCAATTTACAGACAAATCAAAATTTTTGTGTTCACAAGGTTTCCCTATATAGAATTTCGTGCATTTTGATCAAGCATACGCCACAGATAAGACAACATAAAAGTAATATAATTATTCTCCACACTTGACCAATTGCATGTTGACCATATATTAATATAATGATGAAACCGATCAAGCGGTCATATTATTGAAATAAAATATTTCATGTTTGTATAACGCGAGGGTTAGACGTGACGTCTGTCAAAAAGTTTGACATTTTGGACTGATATCAAAATCAATACAAGGTAGCATTTGCAAATCAACTGCAAGGAACTTTTAAATTATGTCGAGAAATAGAAACAAAGGAGCGAGAGCAGATTGTTAAGGAGAGGAGATTGTTGAAGTACTTATTTGTGTGAGTTGAAACAATCTCCTTGTTGAGAACTTAAAATTCAAATTATTGCACTTTATTTATTTTTTGCAGAAATTGTCATTTTGGTGTTCTTGAAACATATAGAGCAAGGCATGATGCATTTTTGAAATTTCATTTGTAAAATTCAACATGTCGTAAAAATAATGTAAAGTATATTCATTTCGAATATTCGATATCGAAATTAATTGCCAGCAAATAGTATTATTTTTGATGTTAAGCGACATATAACAGGGTTAAGCGCAAAGGCGAATAAGGCAGGTAAAAATATTATGGTGGCGAAGGAGATTTACCAATACTGTGTCCAGATACAAGCTTTACATTTATATAAAAAAGAATACAAGTCCTCTTTAAGGCTTCAAAACCTTATATAAATAATCATTACTGTTTGCCAAACAACGACATCTGTTTGGCAAGACGGGTTAGGAGTAGACTATAATATAAAAATCGATGAACGCACTTTAATCTACATTATTATGAAGGCAATATTAACATTTATGAATGCTCTGTTGGGCGCTTGATCAGATTTTAATTTGATACGGTGGTTGGCAATACAAAAATCATCAACTGTAAAGAACCGCATAGCAAAACAAGTCCACATCAAACAGATTTCGCCCCATTTATCCTTGGCACGGTAAAAACAAATTCAAAATCCAGACACAGGCAAAAACGTAGCATATTGGGCAATCAATATATTTTGCTTTGATAACATAATATCACATTTATTTATATTTTCAATAGAATGCTAATGGTGTATAACTGTATAATAATAATAATATATTAACGATAATGGAAGCTTTGCTTAATTTGTTTCTATCGGACGTGTGGTAACTGTCGATTTTCACTTTTTAAATAGTTATGTATTCGAAATTGCTTTGCTAACATAAAAGGCTAATGGTGTATAATAATAATATATTAACGATAATTAAACCATTGCTTAATTTGTTTCTATCGGCGGTGTGGTAGTTGTCGAATTCCATATTCAAATAGTATTCAGAATTTCGTCTGGCAAGTGATTTCGAATATAATTTACAGGGAAAATAAAGAGCTATTCAGAAAAAAAACATTTTGTTAAAGAGATTTATTGGTATAAATAAGTGCGGCCATGAATTGGCACAAATTTTCGAGGCCGACCACAAAATTGAATTTATTTTGCTCTTATCAAAACACGGGAAGACATCGCTCATGACGGGCGCGACAATTTGTGTAATTTATAAATCCCATCTCATTAA